TGGTCTTGTGCGGAGTATCGTGGAGTCAGATCACATTTTTGTGATTCCCTTCGGGCTCGAGGTAGACAACCTAATGTTCCAGTTCGGGATATTTTGGCTAGACGCGATCTGGAGTTTATGAAACTCATATATGTTTACTTTAAGGATATTAACCTTAGATTGTAAGTTTGATTAACCTTGTGTTTAGCTTGTATTTTGTACGTGTGGGTTTTGTTTTTCAATGTTTGTTTTCAAGATGAATAGAAATAATTTCATGCTTTAGGATTAATTAAATAGTTGTATCGTAAACCACATTTCAAACCTCCTTCTTCCCTTTTCCCATCCAAAATATTGTAAATCACCACTAACCTCGAGACAACCGCGAGTACTCGGTCCAGTTACTTTAACTTTAAATTTAAGACAGTAATAATGTATAACGCAAAGGATAACTCGGCTCTGTAAAGTTTATTCGATTGAGCCTGTACAAATAAAGTAATTATAAAAAAAGAAGCATTTAAATTGTTCAAGGACTGTTAACTTACATTCTACAGGTAAAAAAATTGGAAAATTAGGTCAGGCATTGCAATTTTCTCAATTCGGTGATCTTGATTTGTGAAGCAAAAAAAAAATGTCCAAAACCAAGGGATAGGTCACTCCGCACACCAATCTTGGGTCATCTTATTTGTCAGTGTGCCACAGGTGTGCCGATTGTGCCGGTCATAGAGCAAGCTGCGATTGTTTGTAAAAATACCCTTCCCGGCAACCATGCTTGGCATGCACAGTTGTACACACCAACTGCTCATTTGGTAATAACTTTTCACTCAGATGTTGAAATTTATTTTTGTTTAAAGTAATTGATAGATTAGTCTCATAGTTTACTATAGATAGGCGAAGATTAGGTAAAGCTTAACATTTGAATCAACACTAATCAATTTAACACTTAAATTCCGAGATGTGTAGTGAGCATTTCTCACCTCATTCTAATAACGCAAAAACAAATACATTTTACTACTAGCATTAAAATCTACTTTTTTTTACATATCTGTAACAAGCTTACACTCTATTCTATCTACTGCTTCAAAAAGAACTATGTTCCGTCAACTGTGTGCAAAGTTATTAGCAAATGAGCAGTTCGTGACTAAAACTGTGTATGTCAAGCATGCCGGCAACCCGGTATTTCTGACACCTTGAATGTTTTGGTTTGAAATCGCAGGGATAAATCGGATTGAGGATGGCGCGGGAAGTGGCGGGTGTGCGAAATTATGATGTTTTGTGTTCATAGGACAATAAAAATCCTGTGTTCTAGGGTTTTATAATGCCCTCAAAGGCAGATCAGAAACCTAGCCTTTCGTGATGTGAAAAGCAACGGTCTATTAGCGGTCGGAAAGATTTGGAACCGGTTGGGAACATAATTCAAGATCGACTATAGATGATGATGAATAGACTTCTGTAGTTTGTTTGGTGTGAGTTGCAGCATTATTCGAATTAAGGGTATTAATGAGGTCTGATTAACTGCATCTGTCTTTTGAGCCCACTCTAGAACCTACATTTTGTATTTAGATCTATAAGTTAACTGCTGGTCTGAGTTCCTCTGGTATATTTAATTAGAGGATGTTACTAAATATACAGTCAAACAGCACGTAATGACAGTTGTCCAGCAGTGCTCCCATTTCATTTAAAATGTACCAATACCTACGAAATTGTGCCGAAGATGTGCCGATGGATATGCCCAAGTTGTGTCGAATTTAATTTCGGCATAATGTGTTGAGTGACTTACCCCTTGTCCAAAACTCTAAAATGCATCCCTAAATCCCTATTTTTTCACGATCGAGATTGTTAGTCCTAGACGCTTTCAAAATTTGTGCCTCAATTTTGCGATCTAATCATCAAAGTGTGATTTGGATCTAATATCAACTTAGTAGATAGTTTGTTTGAAAAAATAGCTTATTCAATTTATACTTATTTTTTGAGGAAATTGTTTGTTTTATTTTTTTAGAAACATGAAAAATGCGCATGATGGGTTTGTGAGTTTATAAAATTTCTCGAAGTTGCAATCACAATCAACGGCAGATTGTAACCATATCTTTCCGATCAATAAATGTCACTATTGGTCACTTTTTTATTGTTTAAAAGTCACTATTTAGTCACTATTCTCGTTATTTTAGTCACTAAAGTCACTACTATTCAATCACATACTCACTACCAGCCCTCATCTGCGAGAAATTAGTGGATACAAACACCTAACTAAGCTTGAACACTTAACTAACGTCTTTTCTATATGCGAGCGGAACAGGAGCTTCTCATCGAATACCATTCCAAGGTACGTAACTTCAGCAGACCACTCAACCCTTCTGCCATCCATGACTACTGTGTCGCCGCCGCAGGAAGTTGACTTTCCAAATTAAACCGATAGTCCTGTAGTCAAAGTTCTAGTCAAAGTTCTAGTACTACACAATGTTGTTTTGATTCGCTATGAAAGTTTGACAGATAAAATTAGGGGCTAGTGGATTTTCCTATGTTTCGAGGGGAGAATCGATTAGCTTGGGACCGAAGACAGTACCGGAGCTGAGCCAAAAAGTTGAGCACGTTTCTTCGGGACCCACTAGTCTTAGAGTTACCTCTATGGTTATACGTGTGTGATTGGTGGTTTTCTTGCTTGCCGGGAAGCTTTAGAATCGAGAAAGAAAACGTGATTCATCATGTTTGCAAGCATAAGAAGAGATGTCGCTATCTGCGTTGTTTGTTTTTTTTTTGTGGCATCGCGAGTGCTAATTTTTAATTTCAGTTTATTTTCGCGCTGCAGGGTGCGTGAAGGAGCTCGAAACGGTCGGTGTTGATGAACATCGCGTGAAAGAGGAACTTAATGAAGGCCTAAGTACTCTTTCGTAGCTTTTAGTTTTAGGATTTGAAAGATCGTCGGTTGCAGTGGCTTGTTTACTGAGCAGAAAAACGCGGTCCCAGTTGCTTTCATATTAAAAATTTCCGCTTGCTTATCGTGTCTTTTGTAAAACTTTTCGTTGTCGTCGGTGCCGGGTTTGAATAGTTATAACAACTTGAGTAACGGTATAATGTGATAATGACTGGACTCGGAAAAAAATGCGACACTTTGTTTTGGGTGTAACTTTTTATCGCGTGGGTAAAAATTAATGAAATTTTGGGTAATACTAGTTTAGAGTGTTATGTATATGTGTGCAAAATCGCGATCTGTCAAGTGGTTTTCAAGATGCATTCGAAACAAGAAGAGCTACGCCAGCACAGATGGATCGGCAAAAGGCTTGGAATTCACCATTCCACCGTGTTCCGCGTTGTAAAGATGTTCCAGGAGACGAAGACCATCGAGCGGCGCGCTGGAAGCGGCCGAAAACCGAAAACGGAATACCCAGAGAAGGCGTGGAAGATAAGGCAGTACTTTATGAATAACCCGAACCTTTCCACCCGAGACGTGACCAAAAAGGTCAATTCGTCGAAGTGGTTCGTCCAGCAGACCATGAAGCGGGCTGGGCTACGTGTTTTTAAGGTCAGGAAGGCGCCAAACCGGACTGACAAGCAAAACACGGTGGCCAAATTGCGTGCGCGGAAGCTGTACCGTGAGTGGCTGGTCAAGCCAGGCTGTCTCGTCATGGACGACGAGACATACATCAAGGTGGACACCAAACAAATCCCCGGTCTCGAGTTTTTTGTCGGTACGTCCCGCATGGAGGTTCCGGAAAAGTTCCGGAAGAGAAAGATGGACAAATTCGCGAAGAAGTACCTGTTGTGGCAGGCAATCTGCGAGTGCGGACGGTACAGCAAGCCGTTCGTTACAACCGGCACCATAAACGGGCAGATTTATCGAGAGGAATGCTTGCAGAAGCGCTTGCTGCCCTTCCTCCGCTCTCACCGTGGTTCCACGCTGTTCTGGCCGGATCTCGCTTCGTGCCATTACGCCAAGCCTGTAATGGATTGGTACGAAGCGAAGGGCGTTAATGTGGTCCCGAAGGAGGCGATCCCGCCAAATACACCAGAACTTCGTCCGATCGAAAAGTTTTGGGCGATAATGAAGAAGAAGTTGAAGAAAAGCGGAAAAACATTCAAAACCGATAAAGCTTTGAAGAAAAACTGGGAGAAATTGTGTAAGGAAGATGGGCAAAGCCTCGCCCAAAATCTGATGAGCAGTGTTAAGAGAAATGTACGAGCATTCAGTTTGGGGGAAGAAATTCAATAAATAAATTATGTTATTTAATCTCTGAAAATTTGAGAAGTATCCAATTCAAAATGAATTTTTGGTGATCATTTTTGTGTGTCTCATTTTTTCCGAGTCCAGTCTTTATGAGGGGCTCGGTGGCCTTAGAGCAACCGTTTTTGCTTACTACCCATCTACATTCAAGATTCATCGGATCGTCAATCGGTTTATTTGTTAATATGACTACATGGTAATAACAGCAACTTGATGATTAAAAAGGAGCTCGTTTGCCTAGTGGCAAACGTTCTTGCTTACTGAGCCGAAGACCGTGGGTTCAATCCCAAGCTCCTTCGCGTTATATGATCGTTAGGACATCAATTTAGCTTATCGTTTACCAAAACGAACCCTGCTGCAAACCAAAACCTATTACCCAATATCCCAGTGATTCCTCGTGGAAGTGCAACACATAAAAGCGAGTGTCACGTCAACACATTCCTACCCCTTCCTTTCTTGACCTGTGTTCGGGCGCACCCGGCGCTGGTATTGCCTAGTTTGAGATCATCAGTTTTTACACATTGAGGATGAGTACTAGTCCCACGCATCGTCTATTGGTTCTCTGTGTAATTTCAGCTGGTCTGGCAATAACAGAGTAGCAACCGTGGGCGGTCAATCATGCTCATGTAATTATTGAATGAAGACATGATCCAGACGTAGGAAGCGCTCAACAAATAATCGAATAAGAGAATGAATAAAAGTGATCCTAAAAGGCACAGTAGTTGATATCAAATGCAAGCGATAGCGGATAGAATCATTGGCAAATTGCACTTCGCTTAAACAAGGTACATATTGCAATACCAACCTGTAGAACACGTAGGCGCAGATCATAAAGTAGATATGCGATGCCGTATCGCATATGAAGTATGACTTGGGGATGAGAGTCGATACTATCGCCAGTGCTGTCACTATCTGTTGTCATCATCATCATCATCATCATCATCATCGTGTGGAGGCGTGGTGAGTAAAATGCAACATGTGATTAGTACAAATATGCTCTATAACACTCATAACGAACGAAGCTATTGATTGATTCAGGTACATATGTATACAGCGGTAAATACTTCTTCTAATGGTATAAAATTACCGGGTATATAATCAGCACCACGATGGTCTTGGATTTGAACCGCTTGGGCGTGTACTGGAGCACCTGCCGGATGTTTTTGCCACATATCACAAACGTTGCTAAGCTAAGTACGATGGTAATGGCTATGATCACAGTAACTATGGTGTCTAATCCTGTTGGCAGAAATAAATGGAATTGAAATTGGATGCGGGTTGAATGTGATGAAGTTCTTACCATTAAAGTATTCAACAATTGTCGGTAGTCGAGTGGGACAGTCTCTGGACACCGTTCGGTTGTCGGTGGATTCCACTGCTACAATACTGTCGTTTTCCATTTTTGGGCGAATTAGGCGTGAGAGCTTCCGTCTGTTAGAATGCACCGGTGAAAATACGTCAACTGAGTCCAAACTTGTACCTTGCTAAACCATTTTGCCACCAGTCGGGATGTTTAGATGTTTCAGGAGTTGCTACGCTGATTTCTCTGGAAAACAACGTTACGATGAGCTAGTTAATTTAGATTGATGTGCCGAGCAATTCAATCAATTGCACCCATGCTGGTGGAAATCAGCGGGAGAAGTGCGACTGTGAATGGTGGTTTATTTGGCCATAGCGCTACACTGCCTATACGTTATCCACTATCAATTGGCATCTACTTTCATATTGATTGATAAAACTACGGACTTTGGTCATGAACAATGTGAAAACAACATCAAGTCAGTTTGTCCCATTAAGCAAAGTAATCGCATATCTGTCCTTCGATCGTCCGGAGCTCAAGTTAGAGTTCTGATTTTTGGATCGCCATATTTTTCGCTAATATAATAAAACATGCAAGCTTTATTGTAAGTGGTTACAACTTGAAAAAATACCAATTAATGTACTACGATTTTTCAAATATTTACTTGCCTACTCTTTCCATATGGGACTGATATGGGATTATAGGCAGCACACTGCCTCACCGCTGCCGAACGTGTCAAACAATTTAGGGTGTACTTATCTATTTGTATCGAATAATCGTTCCCATAACTTCCTTCACATGTCATCGGAAATCGAATAAATCGGAAAGGTCGCCAATTAGTAATGCATCGTGCACCGCACACGTTGAAGACCCGATCGAACCATCACTAGAGTTCAATGACACATTCGTCGTTAGACAGCCATAAGCACAGCACGTTTAGCCGGCAGTTCCTCCCAATTACCTACATATCCACATCATAGTAGACTCAAGCTTGACGCGACCACTATATAGTAAGCTATGATCAACCGTGATATTGAAACAAACAAATGGATTGTTTGTAAACAAACACTGACTGCAACTAGCCATGGTGCACGAGTGCTATCCGAAAGCTAAGCACGTACCGTTTTACACTAGGTACCTCGCTTTATTGCTCTGCAAGTCACGCACTTGATCGTCTTCTAGGCAGCACTAACGACACACATATGTAGGCATATGGGAGAGAGGGGAGGAGACACTTAAGTGGGTATTGAAATGGCGTAAAAAACGATTTGCCTAAGCTAAGCTTTTCACGTGTTTTTTTGTTTTCAATTGCGCGAAGTCGAGTGCGCTTGCATTGCGTTTCTCAAGTTATTATTTTGATAATATCTAACAAATGATTGGTTGAAGCATCTTCATTGTGCTTGCGTTGTATTAACATCTTATTCTTCTATTCATTTATCTATGCTAATCTGAATCTTGTGTTTTCTAGAGAACGCTATTAATGTCAGTGATAAAATCAATCAAACTGGTAGAATCTAGCGGTACTATTTTCGGCAAGCAAAATAAAGACGTCACTTCAAAACACTTTGCAAAGTGGTTTTAAACGATTCCGTAGTGCGCCAGTTTCAATCTGGAGTAGCTTTACGATACGAAGTAAATCAATTTTATAGGTTTTCTCCTGACATCCGTGGATTGCTTATGACTTCGACGTAGTCGTGATTTTGATATTTTTAGATACCAATTTACCATGCATTAACGAAGATCTAATAAACAGAACATCAAAATCGGTTGTAAATCGGTTCACAAAAATTGATTAGTTATGTTAGTCTGACTGTGTTCGATCAGACACGGTCAGGTTTGTAACTTAAAAACATCACTAACAAGAAAGTGCGGAAATGGTCTTCCAGAGTTTCAGGACATACTTTAAGGAAGCCTTTTTCAATAAATCTTACTCGCGATCCCTTGGTGAACTTCGTGAAATATCGCGAACTTTGAGGGGGCGATTTGATCGACATTTCTATGTCGATAAATTTGGCCTCAATCATGATTTGGGTTTCCAAATCTTCAAACCTGTTTATTTCCGTAAATATAAAAGCACAAACGAAGTGACGGAGCGGCTCGAAAACTTTGGTGACGAACCTGCTATTGTAATTTTTCAGTGTATCACATGGCAACACTACCATAGAGGTAATACCATAGAGGTAACTCTAAGACCAGAAGGTCACGAAGAAACGTGGTCAAATTTTTGGCTCAGCTCTGGTACTCTCTTCAGTCCCAAACTAATCGATGCACCCCTCGAAACACAGGAAAGTCCACGAACCCCACATTTTATCTGTCAAACTTTCATAGCGAATCAAAACAAACATTGTGTAGTACTAGAATTTCGACTAGAATGTGGTACAATAATCGATTTGCTTGGGACCAATAGGCTAGTCAAGTAGTGAGCCAATTTAAAATCGTTAGTTTTTGCATGCTGTATGGAGTTGTCAAAAAACGAGTAAACTGGTTTTGCTCCGATGAGTGCAATCTACCCAGACTCTGGGTAAATGGTTCAGATATCAAAATGAAGCAGCTACGTTCTAGATATACAACTCTAATAAATAGTTCGTTGGTATCAATAAATACACAGCTATAATTTTCAAAATAAACGCATTTTTTCTAATTTTCTTAAGTAGTAGCCTCAAAATTGCGTGTATATATTTTTCCTATGTTTTTAGAAAAATTTAAACGTAATTATTGTAAAGTTTTTAGATGGTTCCAGAAATATCTTCTAGTATAGATTCAAGCAGACTCAACTCATGGTTCCAGAGATATACTGGAATCACCGTAAGATCACCACTAATGATCCTAGGAAGACGCAATTGCTTGTCGAAAGGATGCTAAAGGAAGGTAAAGGAAGGCTACGTGAGCGGTGGATGGCAACCTTACGGTAGTTGGGATACCGTTAGCATGTTAGCACCCAAATAATACCGGAATATCTGTGGAATTATGTGTCCTTCAACAAGTCATTATGCGGAAATCTTCTAAAATACATTTTTTGGAAGCCTCTGAAGCTTTCAGCCCATTTGGTGGAAAAATAAACAAGTTATTGCGCATTTGCACCAAATTAAATTCAGAATCCCTCAGAATACTTTTACTCAGACCAGTAAAAATATAAATGGACGATTTTGAATGTAAAACAGCACTATACTATACAAGATCATATGGTTGGCCTTAAGTCAGAAGGGACTAAGTAGCAAAATAAAATCAAAAAATTAGTTAATGATATCATAAGATCAAGAATTCCCTCAGCTACATTTCAATTTTTCAGCCAGATTTGAAAAATTAGAGTTTCCCATTACATAAGACACAAAATTAAATAAAAAATTCACATTTCGGTCTGACTTGACCGATCATATCAACACGCTAGTAATGATAGAACTCTGAAGATTAATATTTTTATTTGTCTGGCTTGAGTGAACACTATTTTAAGGGATTATTTTCAACGCAGAAGTGTACTTTGCTGCAAAAACGTTGGTGGTGACTTCTCATTGCATACACACAAGTCTGCACTTAAAAATGAACCAAGTTTAACATGTTGTAAATTTGTTCTTTTATGATCAATTTAGCTAAAATTTTGCCTCAAAACTTGCTTTTCCATTGACCTTTGTCCGATCAGCTATGCATAAATTTTAATTTTATTGTCACCTGAAATTCAACATATTTGTAGTTCTGCGTCAAAATTTCAGCTCCATCTATCATAACAGAACACATTTACAACATATTAAACTTGGCTAGTTTGTATGAAAACGACCTTTGTCCGTTCAACTTTGCACCACAGTGTACGTAGGTACGAAATGCTGGATTGAGGTTAAAGTAATAAATTTAGGAACAATTTATGTCATATCTGTATTACGGATTGTTGCTAAGCTTCTTGCTTCAGGAATTGTATTGAATACCTGTCAATCAACAAAACTTACTACGGCAGCAACTGAATTCTTCAGATGTGTTAGCGCTCACAGGATAGTTCATATCAGCCACCATGATGCTGAATTGAAACAATCAATTTGCGACGACAGATTTCTAAATAGTCCTAGTGTTAGTACCGTGGACCCTCGGTAAAATTAAAAAAAACATATTAACGAGCAAATAAACCACAACTTGATTGTACATTTCGCTTACCAAAGCCACATCTCTTACTTCGTTCGTTATGAATGGGCTATTTTTCAAGTTAATCCTTTAATCAACGAAAATTGCCGCTAGGAAAACTTTGTTGGTCATAACCATCCGACACCTCTTCTCCATGTTCGATAAGAGTGTAGTAGCTAGGTCGCTTTCCATCGTTTCCAAAACAAAACAACACTTTCCCCACATCAAGAACACGAGTTGGTCCAGTTGAGTTTGTTATTTCGATGTCGCATTGAAACGTCGCTTAGCGACGTCTCATTGCGAAAAGCGCATGAGCTTCGGCTCACGCGACGTCGCATGATACTTGTTCTCATGAAACGCATACATCCGGAAATGTGCTGTGCTTACAAAACAGTGCGACACACAGACATTATGAGAATGTGAGATGCGACAAAAAAGAGTGCTACAAATCTCTTGCGCATGAGACTGCTATGATTATGAGACTATTCGTATTGCGTCTCGCATACGGTAGCGCGCGCACTGGAAGCCTGCTTCTAACGCAAACCCAACTATTCAGAGTTCCTCAGGAAACAGCAAGTGTCGAAGGTTCCCCAAGAAATTCATGATTTGGCAGGTGATTTGGTCGTGCTGATAACGGAGCAAGCCTTTCGTAGCAACTACAACCGTAATTGGCCAACTCTACATGAATGAGTGCCTGACGAAACGACTGCTTCCGTTTCTCAAATCACACAACGTTCCTACATTTTTTGGTCGGATCTAGTCTCTTGTTACCATGCTTGGCATGCACAGTTGAACACACCAACTGCTCATTTGGTAATAACTTTTCACTCAGATGTTGGAATTTTTTTTTTTTAAAGTAATTGATAGATTAGGCTCATAGTTTACTATGGATTTGCGAAGATTAGGTAAAGCTTAACATTTGAATCAACACTAATCAATTTAACACTTAAATTCCGAGATGTGTAGTGAGCATTTCTCAGCTCATTTTGACAACGCAAAAACAAATACAGTTTACTACTAAAGGGTGATACGGTCAAAATTTGGTCAATATCAACTTGACGTATTTCTTTCAATTTTGCATTTAAAAAACCTGAACACCCCTCATTTTGAAGGTGTGTGTGTGTAGAATGTTGCTCCTA